TTAAGGGGAACTTAGACAATGGAGGAATTAGAGGACAATTTAAAAAACGACGTTAAGGGGAAATAACACAAAAGATATTCCCCTTGGGCGATTATTTATAGGCCTAGTAAATAGTACAGTATCTGTAGGTTCTTCATTAGAAGGCTTAGGCCAAAGGTAATTAATGCTGAAATTATTATTATTTAACATTAATTACATTACAATGATAGTTTGGAGAAGTTCAATAACGCCGGAATGGTATATTATTTATTTAATATTTCTCTTATGCGCTCTATTTTTCATTTCATGCTTCAATTTTGTCCAAACAACCTTTAAAAGTTGAAGTTGTCAATTGCCAACTTAATTAACCAATGCGTGACTGTTGTGTCAGCCTATGACCCTAGCCTAGTTTAAGGAGGGGCCTCGGTAAGACCTCAGCCTGTAGTTAGGCCTATAGTTTATCCTCTTTCACTCTAGCCTTTGGTATAACTGTACCTATCTACACTTTATAACAGGAGGTACTAGCTGTTGTTGTTGTAGATAATATACTAACATTTAATAATATCCAAGAAGGTCACAGTTAGTTACACAGCGACATCACATAAGTCCGTGAAATTTCATAGGCCAACCGAAGGTAAACATAGAAAGAGCAATAATAGTAAAACTCGAGCGTCACGACATTGCGAAGTGTCTGTTCTTGTTCCTCGTATCGTACTCACTCGAGTCAGTCCGAGATGGCCCGAGTGAAGTTTCATACAAATGTTTCGTACGGAAAAAAAAATCGCGGCCGGGAACCAATCAAGCCAGCCGGCCCACACCTCTCCACCATTTCTCTCCCCTTGCCAAAACTTTCCCCTTGCCAAAACTTTCCCCTTGCCAAAACTTTCCCCTTGCCAAAACTTTCCCCCTGCCAAAACTTTCCCCTTGCCAAAATTTTCCCCTTGCAAACTCTCTCTAGTGTTGGCGCCAGCGGGAGTATTGGAATTCTCCATCCCATCGGACAGGCCAGGACGCAACGACGAGGTCGTCGGACAATTGTTCGCCTAAAAAGCACAATAAGGCCCCAATAGTTTATCACCCTATGAAAGAATAAAAAATTTTCTTTTTGCCAACCTCGTCCCCATTTTACCGATGTTCACAAGCAAATCAAAAAGTTATAAGAATGGAATCAAATTTATATTCAAAAAATATGTTTTTGTTGTACCAATAAACATATTTGCAAGAAATCCTGAGCTTTTCAATTGAAAAAAGATGGAAAAACGGCCGTTTGAAATAAAAAATATATGTTGATTGACAAAAAAAACACAACGAAAAAACAAAACAAAATCAGAATTTCCCCAAAAATGATGAGGGAGGGGTATAAACTAATAATTTTTTTATGGGGCCTAATGGGTTATCTATAAAAAGCCATATGAACTCTCCCAATGAACTATCAACTTAACTTCATACCAGCGAGTTTTAATTAATCGATCTCCCGGTTCGGACCCCTCTGTCAGCAAATTTCCGGAGCCACCACCGTCTCCCCCCTAAATTTCGCCCTGCAAACTCTCCCCCTAACAAATTCCTCAAACAAACTTTTTTTTTAACTTATACTCGCTTTTAAATCTAACAAACTCTCCCCCTAACAAAAACTCGCCTTCTAACCAACGCAAAGGGTTGGTACTGGTAGCCTATTCGAGTGGTCCATCCTCTGTTTTTTTCTGTACAGTATTTTTTTTCCGATGTGAATCAGTTGAGCTAGAGGAGGGGGGGGGGGATTTCTCACTCCTACCGAGCGAAACAGTTTACAGTTTGTCGCTATGGTTAAATATGTATCTCTCCTTCGGAGATCGGTATTTGCTTTTCAAACTAGATTAAAAGGGCAGTCATGTTTGTTTAAAACCGGCAGTCTATTTTCCAATTTCAGTTGGATTAAGCCTATGAGAGACAACATAATTTATAGACAACATACTATACTTACTTGAAATATCGTTGCTTGATGAAGAATTTGGTCGATTTGATGCTTATTAAGCTTAATTATAATGTCTTATCACAGAAGGCCTACATCAGCTTACGTTACAGCTCTGCAATAAAGCAGTATTAGTGACGGATCCAGGAATTTTAAATAGAGGAGGCCCAGGGAGAGACTTTGACAGATAAGGGTCTATAACACCTCAGCCCCACCGTGGTTGGGACTGTGGTAGAACATTTACGATTATGTCATCTCTCAAAAGGCCAGAAATGGCACTCTCAGACATAAAATTTGAATGTAATTTTCTTTTATTCCAACAATTTTGGAAAATTTAGGGGGCCCGGGGCGGCTGGGCCCCCTGAATCCGCCACTGAGTATGTAAATAAAATGTATTGTCATTATAATGTGAAAATTAAATTTACCAGCCCAGATTTAATGTTCCTTTTAATATGGCTTTAAATTGATTTTAGACTAAGTTATTACTAGGCCTACTTTAGAGGGAGACTGATTCCCAGAATACTCTGCAACTATAGAAAAATTGTATAAATAGTAATAAATAAATAAATAAATAAATAAATATATATACATATATATATATAAATAAATAAATATATATAATTAAAAAAACACGAATTTCGCATTACAATAAATAAATAAATAAATAAATAAATAAATAAATAAATAAATAAATAAATAAATAAATAAATAAATAAATAAATAAATAAATAAATAAATAAATAAATAAATAAATCAATCAATCAATAAATCAATCAATCAATCAATCAATCAATCAATCAATCAATCAATCAATCTATCAGTCAGTCAAGAAACGTTTAATTCGGACGTACAGTACATCAATATAACAAATATAAATGTAAAGATAAATTTAAACTGTATGTACACATTACACTGAATACCTTTACAGATGTTATTTAAAAAACATCAGTAAATAATTCTATTTTGAAGTAGCAAACAAGAGAGTTTTCTGATGCAATAATCATTGACATCATCGTATACCGTACCGATTTTCTTACAAATTCGCCAAAAAACGGTAGCCTACATGAGAAACATGGTGCTGCACGGTAAGTTTTGATAATAATTGAACCTGATAAGTAACATTCACTTGCTCTTTTCCTCATCCTGCTTTGTGGGCCATCTTTGTCTATTGTTCTAAATATTTACTTTCACAAGCCCAAAAATCTCATAGAATTGGAAGCACACGGCCGTATGATGCCAGTCATAGCCAACTATTGTGTGTGAGTCAGGGGCGGATTTAGAGGGGGATAAACAGGCTTTAGCCTCCCCCCCCCCCCTAAAATTTCATAGTAATTTCTTTTTACTGCTTTTTGAAGGTCCAAATTAAAATATTGTTTAATGTTTTCTTCACACACATCACATTTATGGCCTAAACATTTTACAGTAGTTGTTTTTTAGTGATAAAATAAAAATGAGATACGTTTTTTAACCGATCAGCGGACAAAAAACGTAGCTAAGAAAGTTGCTTTTGTCTTGCCTTCATGCTCAAATCTCGAAGCAAAGGCCGTTGTGTAGCGGTCTCAACGTTTGTATAACAGGGACGTATCCAGGGGAGCCGTGGGAGCCGCGGCTCCCCCCCCCCCCTTTGTACACAGTGTTAAAATTTTAAAGCTTGTTCTTGAGCCAATACAAATTCTTTCCTGGGATCACTCGAAATGAATAATTCTAAAACATGTAAATATGCATCCGTATACGTTATACATAGGCCTAATAGAACACATAGGCCTAAGCGTGATTTAAAAAAAATCTTAAATCCATAGATCTCAGGCCAGGTCTTTTAAGATATAGAAATGCGATACTGTATGGTTCAGTTTCGTTTTTATACTTTTGCCAGGTCTTTTTATACTCAGGCCAGGTCTTTTAAGATATAGAAATGCGATACTGTATGGTTCAGTTTCGTTTTTATACTTTTGCAAGTTTTGTTTAATAATACTAATACTAATAGTAACAATAATAATAACAATGATGATGATGATCATCATGATGATAATGATGACGATAATAATAATTGATAATAATATTAATAGCAATAAAAAGTGAAGAAAATTGTGCTAAATGCGAAAAAAAGTTGTGAGTGTTGATCATAATTATTATAGTATAGTTAAAGCTTAGTAAGATAGTTAGGCCTAAGTTGTCCTGGATAATAAGTAGATCAGCGTTCCGCAAACTTTTTTACTTCACGGCCTATTTATGATTCCAGGCACCAAGCCGCGGCCCAGCAACCGGCTGCGCCAGGGAACAACATACCAAATCTTGGCAAGAACTTTTGATCATGAAGCCTCCATGTATAAACAATATTTTGACATCATTATCTGTTCTCTAAGAAGATTTTATTGTATACAAATTAAATATTATTTTATTAAATAAATAATACCGTACATTTGTGTTTCCCCACCCCTACCCTCCGACAATTGTTGATTGTTTTTTCTTTCTACCATGATTCAACCAAACACGGTTCAGCCACACACGTCATAGCAGGGCCGTAGCCACGAGAAGTGAAATGGTCAGGTTGCAAGCGAAGCGCGAGCACTGGTGATTAGGGCTAGGGGGCCGCCAAGGGCCCCAGGTCGGGGTTTAGGTTTCCGGGGCCAATAAACTGTAATATTATTGTAAACCATTAAACTGTAATATGATTAACTTTAAGCCATTAAACTGTAATATTATTAACACATAACATAAAACATGTACATATCAAAATTATTATGTTTAATCTTTCTTTGTCGATGCTTGCATAAAACGTGATTTGGATCTAACATGATGATATTCATAAACAATCGAAATTCTCTGTAAACATTTAATGCTAAACATTTTCAGCATGGACTTCCTTATGTTGTGGTCATATTAGACTGTAATATTATTATTAAAGAAGTTCACTCAACAAACAACATAAAGCATATACATATCAAATTTATTGGGTTAAAGTTCTCATGTCAGTGCATGCATAAAACGATTTCCTAATATTTTTGTATCTGAGATTGGCAGACAAAATTCTCTATAGTATATACTATATACTAATTTAACGAGTGGACTTCCTTGATTTAAGAAAATATATAATAATGTATATTGAGGTAGGCAAAGTTTAGTAGGTTAGAAGTTTAAATGAGAGGAATTCCTTATGTTGTGGTCATATTAGGCTAATAATATTAAAAACCACTCAACATAAAACATATCAAAAGTTAAACTTTCTACTTCAGTGCATGAATATAACGTAATTTTGGGATATATGAGATTTACATAACATTTGAGAATGTGCTGAATATAAAATCTTAAATATTTTACATTTTAATCAGCAATCTATCAGAAATACTGGGATTGGTTATACTTTAAAGCCTTCAAAACAACCCCTGCAATACTAAAACTGGGATGCAACAGGCAGTGAATATTTCATTTTGATTTAGTGTAGATGTTTTTTACATATTTTAAATTTTATTTGAATTCTTTTTTATTTTGTATGGTCCATATGTTATATTTTCCCCATACAGATAAATGAATACCTGAACTGATATTTTATGGGTTTCAGATTATTATACAAAACAGATATCATAAATCATCATTGTCCGACTGTGTGCATTGAACATTCCCAACCGTAACTTAGGCTACCGGCCTCGCTTGACACTTCACAACAAAGGGCATGTTAATTGATCTTGCACAGCTTCCTCCTCATCATCATCTTCTTCATCATCATAATTATTAATTGTCCACAGCAAAGTAGTGAAAAAATATGAATTCAGGGTGTATTCAATAATAGACGTCTCATAATGCACGAAGTGTATTTCAAAGAATCTAGAAAACAAAAATTTTTCGAATATCTAAAATTTATCTTCCAGCGACAAAACAAGCTAGCTCTCTTCTCATGACCATCCCAATATGGGAAGCCATCTGTGCGAGCCAGGGTAAACTCTGGATCCGCGCTTGACATGTATTTAATGCTTAAAAAAGGTATATTTACAGTATATTTACTGTCTCTTATACACATCTAGATGTGTATAAGAGACAGGTTATGTGTTGAGCATATAAACTCAAACATTAAACTTACATATTTAAATTCCTTAATACTTTTAAGTTATTTTTAACTCTGAATTAAAAGCAGAGACGTATCGAGAGGGGGAGCAGTGGGAGCCGCGGCCAATACAAATTCTTTCCTGGAATCACTCAAAATGAATACTTCTAAAACATGTAAATATGCATCAGTATACGTTATACATAGGCCTAATAGAACACATAGGC